GTACTCCTGACCTATGGACATATTGCTGTGAAGGAAATAAAGATGATACATGAACTGTGACTTTCATACACTAGTCTGCGAACAGCCAAGTAGTTGATTCTGAACCTGTACTCCTAACCTGTGGATATATTGCTGTGAAGGAAATAAAGATGATATTATATTGGGACTAATATCATTAAGGATATGAGATGGAATGGGATTTTGTGATGGGAGATTGTGGGTTGCATGTCATAGGCATCTTTACAATACTGTTCTTCATTAGGTGTCTTGCAGAACAAACTTATATCTCCAACTGAAGTGGCTTGATGCTTCAAAGTTTTGTTTTTGTTTGGCTTTTCAAAGTCAAAAAGGTGGAAGTTAAAGCCATGATTTGATAGTATTTTGTATTCTTTAAACTTTCAATATCTTAATAAGTTTGGATTTTGTGTAACTTCTATGTTATTCTTTGTGTTGCTGTGTTTTAAGTACTGCATTAAGTGGGTTGATATTGGGAAAAGAAGAAAGGAGAAGACCTGGAGAGATGAGATTATTTCATCCTTTGGCAAGTTAATGGTGTAGAGCAGGGCATAGAACTCAGTCTTTAGAAGTACTCAAATAGTACTTCAGTACTCCAATAGGCTGCTCTGCTTAATCAGTTTTTATGAAGTTTACTGTGCAGTCACAGTCTTTGTTACTTATTCTTTAGAATTACTTTTCCTTCTATTGGTAACAATAGGCTGCCATCCTCTGGTGAAATTTGTTAACTGTCTTCTAGGGACCTGACAGATTTTTCAGAAGAGAGAAGGCCGTTAACGTTTGGAAAGCTTAAACGGAATATATTATTTTTTTGTTAAAGAAATGTAGTTACTTGTACAAGGAATAAGTAGTAAGAGAAGACTCTTAGAAGGATTTATATCGAATCTCTCTTTCTCCCTCTTTCCTTTTGCCATGACATCTGTGGAGAATGTAAAGGTGGAGTTGATTTCTTGACAGCTTTTCTCCCTATCTGCTGATACTGAACTGCCTTTTTCTGTGGAAGGACCATTGAACACCAGCGTATTATCATTAGTTAGCTACTGTACTGTTCATTGAATTGCTGTCCATGTTCAGAAATCATAGCTGGAACTGTGTAAAGCACATTTTATGTTGTAATGTCTATATGTTACTGTGACATCCACTTGGGTTTATGGTAAAGTATGCCAAAGATACGCGGTGTGTAAATTACTAGTTGTTATTACTCACAAATGCTAGGTGAAGAATGATATCTGAAAACAGTGGAGGGTTGTTGAACAAATTTGTTTCTCATAGGTGACAGACATCCTGTGAATTTATGTGACATAACATAGGAAATGACTGCATTTTCTCTAAAAAGAACTACAGGAGACAGAATGAACCATTTGATACTTACCTGCCTTAATGCAGAATTGTCAATGTAGGTTAAGTCGCAGATAAAGTTCTTTAAAGAAGAGCTAGCTGAATTTGCTTTGGAGATGATGAAAAGCTAAGCAGTTGCTAAAATCCTTTAGAGAGCAAGTGTGAGAGTGGAGGTCTCAGACCTTCAAAATAGTGTTGCAGTTTCTTCTGTGACTCTTCTGTGTATCTGTGGATGCAGACTGTAGAAAGTTTCTGAGTCTCAATGCATGGCAAAGAAAGACTGAGAAGGCAAGAGAGTTTTTAAGGCTTTGGAAGGTTATCCTTCCAAGATCAAGACTATGTAGTCTTCTACCTCAGGACTCTGCTACATTTTTACAAAGCTTTCCCATCATATTGACTTCAACGGTGGACTTTGAATTTGGTGAAACTCTTACAAGAGTATCTGTAAAGAGTTCTTAGGTTTAGAAAGTACTAACCATGCTTACTAGGACTACTCTGCTAAAGCCATGTCCCAAGGAAAGTTACAGATGAGGTCCAAGACTTGAGTACAGTTTCTGGAGTCTGTATTAGGGTTGTTAACCAGCCTCAGCCAAAACTCCTTGCCTTAGGAGACCAGAAAACCCAGTGGCCATTTTTCTTGCACGCTCCTGGCAGTTAGTCATAGAAACACAGGCAGTTCGATCAAAAGCAAGAGGAGTTTGATTTTTTCATGTGGTAACCCACACACCTGGGGGCATTTGTTATGTTTGTTATGCAAAATGCAGTTGTTAAGGTTTACTGAGAATACAGGTGATTGCGTCTGAGAGCTCCTTGCTGCTGAGTAGGTTTATTCACAGTGGTTTGTTTGAATTGTCCTGCTTTGGGGTAGAGAGGTGTAGGCTAACAAAAGGGAGCAGAAGCTGTTCTTAGTCTTGGCAGATGCAGCATTCCTGTTGTCCATTGCATAAGCTTCAATTAGACAAGGAATTGTTTGCTTTCTCTGATATGTTTCCTTTTAATCCTTACCACTAAATTAGTGGAGAATAATGTGTTACATTACACTGTGAGTTTATTCTTTTATTTAAGCTGCAGAATTTAAATCACCTTTTCTATTTACGTTGTCATTGCTGAATCGTTGTAACTAGTATAGCATAAGTGTTTAAAAATACATTTAAACTAGTGATTAATATAAATGCAATGATTTTTCTGTTATTGATTCTATTCTTTTTACTAGCGTTGTGCTTGCTCTTTGTACTTTCAACTGAAGATTTGATTGAAGTCCACCTTTATCCCAGTAGCCTGAGGTGAAAACTGTAACCTAGTGTTCTACAAAGCAGATAAAGGTTTGAAAAATTTCCTTCCATTTTTCATTTTAAACCTTCTTTAGGATTTAACTTCTTTTTGCTGTTATGTTGCTATTTGACCACTCTTTTCTGCTGGAAATCCCTCAAATATTTTTTTGGTTCTTAATTACTCTCTGGTCATCTACATGTTTTCCTGCCTCATCCTTTATTTGCCTTTCCTCCATCTTTTTGAAAGTAAACTTTATAAGCAGTGAACCTCTTGTCGAACATTGAGGACATCAACTTTTTAGCTGTTACTAGATAAGAATGGGTATTTATTTCAAATCTTTACTTTCTTCTTGGACAGTTAGTTGTTACTGGCAATGCTTTGTCTCTCTGGTATGGGGTTACGAGCTGTTTATGGTAGTATAAGGCAGGGAAGCTTAAGAGAAGATTGGTATTGCCCAGAGGGTATGAATGTATACTTGGTCTGTTGCGTGAAAGTAGTAGGTGATCCTGCTTGAGTATGAATATAAAGATTCTATGTGATGATTATTTACTCTAGTCTGTGTGGTGTGTTATTCTTTGTTACTAGGCTTTTTCATTCTCAGTTACTTCTGCCCTTGTTCTTTCCAATGTTCAATAAATCTCGTAGAGGTGACTTAGAGTTGGCTGTTTCCCTCTGTAGCCTTGTCAGATTTGTTACTGTTGGATTTATTCAAAGTGTGATGTAGAGAGGCTCAGGCTGTGTCTTCGCTGGGAATGCAGACCTGCAGTAAAAGCTGGTTTGTGTTCTCTGTATGAACTGGACATCAACAGTTCTGTGTTTCCTGTGAGTCTATAACTAATTCCTTAGTGGAAAAATCTACTGAAGATATTGCCTTTTTTTCTACATATGCATCAGGCTTGCCTATGTTTAGAGATCATAGCTCTTCACGCATGACGGCATATTGAGGACTTCTTTAGCCATAGATAGAAACTAGACCAACTGATGAAGAATATACTCATTGACTGCTATTTTCAGTACTGATCACTGCTTTCCCCATGTTATTTGCTAGGAAATACTCTCCTTTAGAAACATTTTCAGAAGCCAGGAATAGGAAGATCCTTGGTGATCTGCAGATCCGTTTTGTGTTTTGTTTAGGTTTTTTTTTCTGCCTTGAAATGTTTTACAGGATTTCTGCTGCAAAAACTGTTCTTCAATAGAAGCTTCCCCTGGCCCACTCTCCCTCTTCTCCCCGTGTGGTTTTGAGTCTCAACAGAATAGTGGTCCTAACAAAATATTGAATACAAAGAGACAGAGCAGATGAAAAAAAAGAGATGTTAGATTTGATGCTTATTGCTTAGTGTACTTAGAGAGGTGGTAGAAAGGCTGAGAAATTGGAAATTGGTTGATTTCTATGTGGTATTTTCTTTTACTACTAGTCTGTGTTGTTTCCCGTAGCTGCTTCAAATAAAGTGTTGAATTTTTAACTTTGTGAAGAACAGCAGTGATAAATGACCCACAAGGTATGTAGATTTGGAAAAGGGAAGAATAGAGAAAATATCTAGAGACAAGTCAAAAAGGTGTTCGTCTATAATCTCTGAATGGTTTGACATGACCTGTCATATAATCAAGTATACAAATGCAAGTATTCTTTAATTTTATTTAATTTATTTTGAATCCCAATAGCAAATATACACTAAATAGACATATAAAATATCCATTTTATACAGTACTGTCAGTATTGAGAATTCTACGTGCTGACCTTTGTAAGAAGTCAGGGCAGCTGAGTTCCAGCTATCTGCTTGCATTCAGCAATTTTAAGGTACTTACATTAATGAGGGATTCTCAACCCGTGTGATGTCAAAATATAGAAGAGGAAAAAAATTAAGTGAAAAACATAATTACAGTTGTTATACATAAAAGAAAATGTTTGTGCGGGCCTAAAGGGAGTTTAATAATAATTCCTATCAAGCTTGAAGCATATGATAAATCTTGAATCCTACTTTTTAATGTTCAGAGTGCATCAAATTGTATTGATAGCAAAACATTTGAAGGACATTTACCTCTTAAAGTTGAAAGAAAAAAATACCAAAAAACTTCTAAAGTTTTTTGCATGTTAGTTCTTGATATGAAACTCCTTTATCTCACTTAATAGATTATAAAAAAATGTTCTAGTTTAGAGACAGAAGACCTCACAATACCGTACCTTTTTATTGCATCTTGGCTGATTATCAAAAATGGCACAAGAAGTTGTATTTGAAGTCTGATAAACTTTTCTTACAACACTTTTTGACAGAGGAAAAGGTCCTAACTATGGAAAAAGTCACTTCCACTTATTTTTTAGGATTTGTTTGAGAGAAAGAGTATGTCAAAACTATGTGATTTAAGTACAGAATTTGACATCTATAATAGGAAACATCAAATACAGTTTCCAGTTCCACTTCCAAGAGTCCGTCTGTAAGATATGAAGGCTTTTGTTTAAATTATTCAAATATATGTTGAACATTGTCAAATAATGCAATAGATCCTACTAACATGTTGTTTCTAATTATCTCTCAAATAGTACATATTTTGTAAACTGGTTAAATAGTGTAAAATTGGCATTTTTCTGAAAATTTCAAGTATTGTAGAACTGATTTGGACAAGTTGCTTTTGGAAATAACCGACTTTGGTGTCACTTGAGGAAATTTCCAAGTTGCACGCTGTTTCTGGCTAAAATGCAACGGAAGGTTGAAGGCTGAACCTCCCAGTACTTCACAGGATTATTGAAGAGGCTTATGCCACTGTATAATGCTTTCTTCTTTCTTCTTCCTGTTGGACAAAAGTCGTTCACTCCCAGTTTCGCAATATGATTAGAATGAAGGAAGACAACCTGCACCGATAAGAAACAGCAAAATATAATAGTTAATATGTAAATGGGAAAAATGTCTACACATCATTGGCATATGGATAACTGAGGTTTACTATAAGATCTGTTGGATGCAGACTTTAATAGAAACAGGAATTAAAAATTGGTGTTATCTTTAAAAAAAGTCTCCCTCCTGCCACAGCCTCTCCCACCAAAAAAAAAAAAAAAAAAAAGTTATACAATATTTTATCTGTGTTGTCAGAATAATTTGACTCTATTCTTATGGAACATTCTCCTAAAAGGCAATTTTGTATTCTCTAATAGTAAGAATTATAATGATGCAGTGTTATATTCTCCCATAATGCAAATTTTCAGTAATTTAATACATTTTAAAAAGTAGTCTCTAGAAAAGCTGGTATTAGGAGAGATTTGTCAGTATAGTTATAGGAACATATCAGTCCAATGCTGATGTAGCTTGTGATAGTAGAGTGTAGAATTCGTTAAGTAAAATAATGTATATTGACAAAAGAATTATATTGTTTGTATATCTAATTTTACATTATATTATAAGTTGATGTTTGAGGTTTTTTAAAAACCACCTCAAAAGATTTTCTTTTAATTGAAGGTGAAATGAGAAGTGGAAAGAAATTAAAATCAGAGGTAAAAGCTTTTACCAAATAGCTTATCATGTGCTCTGTCATCTCTGCATTTCTTCATGTTTCCCGAAGCTTTGTTCTGCTCTGTATCCTAAGGTATATGTCATCTTATGAAACATATTTTATTTTAATTGCTACTGCAAAATCCAGGAATTAAATGTGTTTTGAAAACATTTTATTGCAGAATTATCTAGTTTTAAATGCAAATTTATCAATCTCATAATTTCAACCTCATAAATAATTTTCTTTCGATTTAAGACTTTTCAGCACATGAAGGAAAAATTTCCACTCTGGCTTGCTAACACGGAAACTATGATAGATCTGTAACAAACTTTCTGGAACCATTTTCTAGGTATAGCATGTTGTTTTCCTTTTTCTTCTAGGAAGCATTCCTGGTGTTTGATATTGTTTATTTCTTTAAGTACATGCATGATATCAGGTTTTCCTAGTATGAGAGTCATGTCAAAATATATGTGACAATTAATTACGCTTTTTAATTATGTCCTAATCAGTATGGCAGTGTGACAATCAAGTAACGTGTAACTACTAGAGCTTTGTATTAAGTTTAGTATATCACCTGCAGATATTTCAGTTCAGGTAATCCAGGAGGAACTTTCTTGAGCTTATTTTTTTCAAGATGGATTTCACGTATACTTGGTATGTTGGCAAAACTTCCATTTTCCACATCTTTGATTTTATTATTCCCAAGGCCTAGCCTAGAAATAGTACAAGGAACATTTAATTAAAAACTAATCAAGATTCTCAATAGCATTGAAGAGCATGCTTTTTTTTTTTTTTCTTTTTTTTCCCCAAGATTGAATTACACAGGAGTAGAAATGAGGAAAAAAAGAACTGGAGAAAAATGATGAAATCTTACCTCTGATAGAAAAAAAAGCCCACCATTGGTCTAACAAATATTTTTTCTTAATTTAGTCTCCACTTAAAGGACAGCAGCTAGCCTGATGTGAGCAATTGTCCAGTTTTGCATGCAGTTTTTCTACTTTTAGTGGCAAGAGTTAAATGATAAACATCAACAAATCTGCTTGTAAAACTGATTATGCTTTTTTATCAAGTCATATAGCAACAAAGTATACTCACAGTAATAAAAAGTCTGGTGTTCTTAAAAAATACCCAAAGAAGAGCAAGTTTCTTGTAAAGGGACAGTTTATATATATAGTGTAGTCAAACTATATTTTAAATGTAAGCGGGACTGCCTTCTTTCCTACTTCCACATTTTCAGTAGTTTAGGCCATAGACTTTTTTGCTCTAACACTTCAGCCTGCATTTTTAGGAAGATGATTTGGAAGGCGGAGGCACAGGTTAGTTTGGAATCGCTGTTTCCACGCACCCTGCAATCCCCTTTTTCTCCTTTCTTTCTTGATTTGTTCTGAAACTGAAGTTGATGTCTAAACAAAGTTCAGTAGTTCCTCTCTGTTGTTAGCTTTTATTACCAAATCTGAAATTTGGTGCTGCTTAGCCATATTTTCAGAGTACCTACCTGAGCTTTACAGAAAGAACTTCCTCCTTTTCTCCTGCATCAGTGATATATTCTTCAGAAACATGTGTTTTTCTCTTTTTCTTAAACCACATCACATTTGGAAGCAGTTATCAAGTTGTTTCCTTTACCAGCTACTGTATTTCTCTGGGGCTAGTTTTCAGGAGGAGAATTTATCTGATCTTATAATTTACCAGCTTTCCTGTTTGTTTGTATAAATAAGTCTCAGATTTCCCTTTTCATTTCATCCTTTTCTATTTTTCTTTGGGATGTGTATGGAGTGTCTCCTTCCAGTACACATAGGCCTTCTCTGGAATTAAAAAGGTATTATGACTCTAAATCCTATGAATTTAGTTGTAAGAAAGGCATTCGGTTCCAAAGAAATCCCCAAAATCAGTTGGTGTTGCTGTATACCTCATTTTGGGGGGTGATTTGTGAGATGAGTGACCAAGGAGTTAAAATGCCTGGGCCTGACGGGGAACAGTCTAGAGAAAAATACTGAATGCTCTTGATCAATAATGCGACCACAAAGGTTCGTATATTCTGAGTGTGAGAAATACATGCAGTGCTTAATTGAGGCATTATTGAGATATTATATAGTAGCCATGCTATCTTACACAACACCCAGGTGCCATGAGGTAAGAATTTATGATTACATTTTGTAATTAGATGCTGTTCTTAATATACATGTCTATTGTGAACTGTAGGAAAGACGTAATAACAAGGCTAATGTTGGTTTTGTTTATTTTAAGTTTGGTCTTATTTATAACAGTTCTTACTAAAACTCTTAAATTCTCTTTTCTCCCATTAACAAGAGAAGTATCAAATAAGAGATGCTGCTAGGTCTGAACTTTTATCAAATAAAAGCATTCTGCATGGGAATTTTACCTTTGAAGATCTTTATACCGGTTAAAATCTTCAAGTTCGATTGCCGTGATCTTATTGTCGTCTAAATGAAGCTCTAGTAGACTTGAGGGCAAGTCTGGTGAAAAACAAATGCACCATATGAGAAAAATTAGCCAACTTATTTGTTGGAATATTTTTTATGTTCCAAATATCTTTTTTCCTTTGTATTTAGGATTGGGTGAAGAATCTTGGGGGCATTGGATATTGGATACAAGTGTGTTACTTTTTATAAAAAAAAAAAAAAATCATCAACATAATTTGGTACAAAATAGCAACTTTTTTAAAAAAAATAAATACGTCAAAGTGCATATGCTAATATTAAGATTTCAGAGTTCCAAAATTTGGTGTAATATTACTAGCTTTCTTTGTAACAACTTTCACATACATTTGGTTAACGTGTCAAAGATGTAAATTATGTTATGTTCAATTATCTAACAGTTGGTAGTCAAAATCCAACTCCTATGGAACCTGTGACAGTTATTTGTAGATGCTTATTTTCTTCCATGTGATATAACAATTGTGCTGTTATAGCTCTTCAGATGTGGTCTGCGAGGAAAGCTTTCAGCATTCCCTAAGCAAAATGAGATATTGGTACGCTTTTTCCCGTGCTGGTACGCTGAGTGTTTTCTCATGTGGTACCAAGTAGTCCCAATTCAGAATGATCTGTCAATGGACCAGGAGGTGGAGAATCTTTTTTACAATAGCCTTTTAGTGAAGGCAGAGAAAGATGGTCACAAGATTGAATTTCTGTTTGCTGATCTTCTGTTCAGTTTTACTAGCATCTGTCTAGATGGCACCCTGACACCAGGCAGGAGAAGCCACAGACGGCTTAGGAGAGCGCTGCTCCCATTGCTATTTGCTGTAGCATTACAACACTAAAGAACAGTGGTATGCTTTACAGTCTGTCTTTATGCCAGATGACATCCTTTAGTGTTTTTGCTTGGGCTTTTTCCCAGTTTCCGTTCCAGTTTACGACTCTGACAGGTGCTGCTTGTGTCTGAGTTGTAATATTAAGAGGAAAGACTGCCCATCTGCCCAGTTTATGTTTTGAGTGCATTTTGTAAGTTACATTTTTTAGTCTTTTTGTGTCATTATAACATTTGCAGATATAAACATCTACAAATTTAGTTTCCATTTGTGTAGAATGTATTCATCAGAAATCCTGTTTGTTTATGATTTGTGTATTTATTTGACACCTCATATTGGACCTCATGCTGCATTACCTTATCGGAAATTTCTCTATAACACAGACAAAATCTGAATCATTTTATGTATGTTTTTTGTGCTAAGTGACAGGAGATGGTATTATTATGATATTAGAAGAATGTCTTTTTGTGTGTGTGTTGGGGAGTCTCAACATAGGCAGCCAGATAGTTTCTGGTCTTAGAATTATCTGAACAGTTGGGGTCAGTTGGTTTGGTTTGTTGTTGGGGTTTTTTTTTAGTGTTCTCTGCTACAGGGATACTCTGCATATATATCTGTCTACAAGAAGAGATTAAATTTAATAAGAAACAAGTTCATTATCCGATACAGAAATAAATGTCTTCGGGACCAACATTTAGTTGACCTGTAAGTTGATGAATGATACAACATATGGTATTGTGCTTTAGTTCCTCCCTTTTCCTCTTAGCTAGTAGTTTTGAGCAGTTGAAAATCATGAGATTTTGGTTAAATACTACAGTGACCTACAGAAAATGCAGGTAGAGTGTTCCTCATGCTTCTTTTTTGTGTGTGGAGGTCAGTGATTTGTAAAGTGTTTTAATTTATTGCTGCCTCCAAATCACAAGTTAGTTGGTTTATATGAAGGAATGATTTAATTTCATAGTATGTTATACTGAATTTAATTAAAATGTTAATATTAAATTTTACTTAGCAAAACCCCAACAAAAGATATATAAAATGCTGTATTGGGTTTTGCATTGAGGTAGTTATATTGCAGAGCATATTTGAGCTGCAGAGTCACTTAAAACACTCAAAATTAAAGTTAGAAATTTGGGGGTTTCATCTCAAATGCATAAAGGAAGTGGGAATTCTGAATCCCTTGTGATCCACATCAAATATCAGGGGGGTTTGTACTTTCTTTATAAGGATTTTGAGTGGCTGTTGTGAAAGATGCGAAGTGACATCTCATTATGGTTTTCTTCACCTTGTTTCTTCTGAGAAGAGTCTCTGGATGACTCTGAGAGGAGTTGGAACTCCTGACAGTGAGCAGACAGGAGAGGGGGCTGGAGAGCAAGCACGTGTGCGCTGTGTGTGCGCATGTGAATGCACACTTTTGGGATGTAGAACTGGGTGCTAAGTACCAAAATAAAAATAAGGTAGGAGGTACTTTGGTAGTAATAAACAATACAAACCAGAGTTTGTAAATATTTTAATAATAGTAATAACGTTGAAGCATTTTCTTTAGGAGTATACTGGTATAGGTAAAATAGAAAAGGTAAAACAAAGCATACCTTTGGGAATTGAAGTTAATTTAGCTTCCGCAATTCTTATATGATAGATATTTACTCCTTCAAAAGCCCCTGGCTCTATTCCTTCATTGTCAAGAGGGTTTGCACTCATTTCTGTCCAAGGGGAAAAAAAAAAGTATTTATGGCATAGGAATTTTGTGTATGTTAGACTAAGTCATAAACAGCTGATTACATTTTATTTGTGATTTCTGATGTTCTAAGCATTAACTAATGTTTGGCTTTGATTACCTGTTCTGAGCTTTCAGTGAATAAAGGCTGTCTAATTTAGCCTGCAGGGTTACCAGGAACTTGACATATGTAGCAACTTCTCATAGAAATTAAATAGTGAAAGAGCTGGCATGGATATCTCTTTAAGAGCAAAATGCACATTGGGGAAATGTTTGAATTAATATTATATATAATATGTTACATTTTTGATAAAGGCATTTGCTACTTAATTGAACTTACCTAAAACATGCAGAGAGTTCATTCCTTTAAATGCATCCTTGTGGATTTTCTTAACCTTATTAGCATGAATTCTGAGCTCTGCTAAAGTTTTTGGTAGATTTGTTGGAATCTCAGTTAGCTGGTTATGGGACAAATACAGTCGCCGTAGCTTCTTCGTTGGTTGAAAGGCTTTTGGATGGATCTTGGCTATTTTATTGTTGTTCAAAGCCAGTGCCTATGAGATATGGGAAGAGCAGTACAAAGAAAATGTCTCTATACAAGAATGTTATGATTATTATTTTTAAGTCATTAATTTGATATATAATTTAACTACTAAATATTTAAAATATTTTGTTTTTCCATCATACCAAACTTTGTCTCTTTGTATATACTTCAGGCATTTTACTTTGTTGTGGGGGAAAAAAAAAAAGAACCTGGAAGATGGAGAATCAACTAGAAGGTAGAGAAAAACTAGTCAGAGCTGACACGGTGCCAATGATAATGAAAAGAATTGTCAAAACAATATGTTTGTCTTATTTTGTGGGTTTGTATGGGGGTTATGTTCTTTTTATTGTTGTTGTTCCTTAATGCAGATGAATTCTCAAAACTCGGAATTTCATCTTTTATTTCAGCATAATGCTGCAAAAGAAAAGTCAGGTTTTTAATCTGAATTTCTTAAAAGTTAATGTCCTGTGTACAGCTAATATATACACATGAATTTGTATCTTATGTGCCATAATTTTTCAACTCCTGTGAATTTAAGTGTCTCTTTTGGCTGTACAGTACACTTATCCTTTTTAGGGACAGTTTTTAAATCTTGGTTACTAGGTGTTATCAGAGAACTCGTAATGAGTTATTGCAAAATATGACTTGTTTGAAATTGTTTTGCATGTCAAGTCACATCTCTGCATTTCCATATCTAGACTATTCTTTTTTGTTCTTTTTTATTTCTTTGGACTGTTGGTAAGTCATCCGCTCTCTGGAATTGTGAGAAAAACAAAAAAGTAGAGCAAAACAGATTTCATCTTTTTTTTCCCAGAAGAAATAGGGATAGCGTAAGGAAATAAACAGGAAATGCTCCTTCCTAATCCAAGTTGCCATCTGCGCCTTTGCTGAGTAGACTAGTACTCAGACAAGTTGTACAAAGTAGTGACTCCTATATAATGCGGTGATTGCTGACGTATGCCAGTGACTTTCTCAGTCATTGGAGATTAGTTTCTATAAGACCTTTTATACCGAATATAAACCACAGTTAGTGTGTTTACTCCGAACTTGCTGGTGAGGCCATTCTGTACTCAGACACCAGACGCTTAAGGGGAATTGGAAACACTTTTGTTGCAAACAATGAATTTATGTAATTCCTAATTTTTCTATGCTAACTTAACCCGTAATAATTAACAAGCTCATTCACAAACACTTAGATCTGGTAAATTTCCAGTTCTTGCTCAGAAACCAAATGTGACTCAAAATGTTAGTTTAATGTGTTTCATCTCTTTCTAATGTGCAATAGAATGTTGTTAATTTGCTGTAACTTTTGGAACAGATTTTTCACTTTTACAATGAATCTTTTAAAATTGTCAATATTCATTGGTTCTGGAGTGACCACTTGCGGAAATAAATGTTCCAAAACAGATTTAATCTACCTTTCCAGGCCTCTGGGACTCATAAAAAGGGATTATTGTGTACTGTAAATATCTAGATTTATCAGTTGCTAGTTACACTTACTTTAAAGCCCGTCTCTATGTGTGTACTTGAGTGCATTAAAAAAATAGTAGTAAAGCACCTGGCTTTTTCAGTAATTCAGTAGCGGTCTGTTTTCTGTTCAGGTGAATTGGGTTTGTAACATTAGTTTCAGTGATGTGTTAGTTGAATGCCATGTGCTTTTGAAAATAAATACTCTCAGAAAATATTGTTCGAGTTCTCCTGTGAGACGAAATTCTTTCTGCTGTTTTACAGCTCAGTGGATAAAAAAGGAGCACTTGTCTTGCAGCCTTTAAAATGTCAGGAGTGTTTCTGTGGACGCTAAGGACTGAATAAATCTTGAGGGTCTTTTTGGCAAGATACACATGGTACATTTTCTGGATGTTGTATAAAGTATCATAGTTCTTACAGCTCAAAGAAATTTGCTTCTTACTCTGTGGGAGCAGTCCCATATGCAGGTGTTAGCCTATTGTTATGGGTACTGTTGGAGAAGAAAAATATCTTTTGCATTTTAAAAGTATCAAAATATTTCAGATCACTAAATAAGATTTCAAACTTGGAAAATAGCAAGCTTACATAAAGCGATGTGAGTCCTTGGAGATCATTTTCCTTGACCTCTTTAATTTTGTTATTTTGAAGGTCAATCATACGAGTATCTGGTGGAATGTTGCGAGGTATTGATGTCAAACCTATTTAAATGTGTGACATAAACAGAAACATTATGTGCCTGTATACAAGTCCAAAGAAATTAACTGCTAAACAGCAAAACACGGTAACATTGTTGAGGATTATGATTGGAAAGAAAATATGAACAGCCATAAAGCAAAGGATAGAAAGCAATATTTGATGAGAGGAGCCAATTATGTAAGAATGTATGACAAAAATGTGTGGATGGTTTCAGGAGGAACTGCTTCTGCCCCTGACAAGCGCTCATTGCAGACTCCCTGCATCTGTGAAATAAGCAGCCTCAAAGCACAGGTGGTTCTACAGGGAAACTGCTGAAGTCCCCGGAGAAAGCAGCCCTCGGAGGATCCGGGCTGTGGCTCTGTGTTGGGGAACAGGGCTGTTGCAGGGGCTTTAAGGGCTCTCTGCTCAGGGCTCAGAACACTCCTTTCTACCTCTGCGCTGCCCTGTTGACTGTACTGGCAGGGTTGCTTATATAGCCAAACAGTTAACACAGGGCTGAGAAGTGTGTTCTTGGCAAAAGCGGACAGAAGATGGTCTTCCAGCTGCCAGTACTTAATTACCAGGTGTGTAAATCCCCCAATCCAGTTCATTGTTCATTTACACAAGCACTTCAGTTCATGCCATCTGAGATCCTGAATCAGCAGAAGAGACTAGGGAGGGATAGTAACTCCTCAGTGGAAATCCTGAGGCATCAAATGCTAGATGCTGGTCCAGTTGATTAGCAATTATTCCATAATTGATAGGTTACAGTTATTTAAAGATGAAGTCTATTAATAGGGTTTTTTTTTCTATGTGTGAACTAAAGTGAATGGATTTGCAATCTCTAAACTAGGTGTGATAACCACAGTTTATTGCTGTCAGCAAAAGCTTATTTTGATTCCTCAATAATGGCACATTTAAAAAAGCCCAGCAATTTATGTATTGACTCATTGTTACTAAGACATGAAGAGTCCAAGATTGAGTTTAGGATGGTGGCAGAGCTGTGATGAGAATTAATGTCATTGTCACTGTGCTATAGTGGCAGGAGCATAGTCCTTGATTACCCTGAATCATGGGAAAACATCGATGAACCCTAACTCCCACTGGCACGATTAATAATTAATTCATATTTAGGGACTAGTATGTATCTGTGGCACTGACAGTAGCAGATTTGCCTTTGGTTAAAGTGTTACCAGCGATGCGAACTTTCATGGAAGTTAAGCTGAGCATATAGTTTGTATCCTGTTTATGCCCTGGTGTTAAGCTTCCTTTATTTATGGCCTCCTTCTCCTTTGTTATGTTTTCTTGTCATTTGACCTGCTGCTTTGTAGTTGTGAATGAAATACTTCTTTAGTACTTCTTTTTTGAGAGAGAGGGCTACTAGCTTGTCTAACACAAACAGAAGACACAGCAAACTTTTCATAGAATCATTAAGGTTGGAA